TCTGATATTCAGAATGTTGTTCACATCCACACAAGCGCCTTCTTGGTTTTTTCCGGTTTTCCCGTGTTCTCAGCGGTCTTTCGAGTTTTTCTCTTTGAAACCGTTTTCCGACAGCATGACTGTTTTAACACCACCATTGCTCCCCCAATTGACTGTCCTGCACCTGTTTTCCCATTTTCAGCTTGCTCAAATCAACAACCGGTGCTCCACGCCCACGATCCAGTGATACTTCGCCCAGCCACCATGGACGCGCAGTGGCAGCAATACTACTGGAATCATTATTTGATGCAGCAACATCATCAGCAGCTCACCAACCCTGATACCACAACTTCTCCTCCCACCACCGCACACCACACCTACAGCCCCACAGGCACCTACGGCCCACTCACTCACGCACTTCGCACACACCACGTCCACCACTCCAACCCTTATGTGACCCCACCGTACACACCGCCATCGCAGCACACACCCCCACCCCAGGCACCCACCTCCCAGCCAGAGTTTCCGCCTCCGCCGCCGCCACCCCTGCCCACGGCCGAACCTGTCACTCCACCAACATCGACCTTCCAACACAGCCCACCGCCACCACCCACCACACGTGGCACCACAGCGCCTGCCCCACCGCCCCCACACATCCCATCTCCCACACCACCTGTTCCCGACTCCTGGAACCCAACCGAGCAACATTGGGACTCCAACACCCTGCACGGCCACCAACTACATCGTACAATTCAACCCACCCAGTGGTCTCGCAAAGCAGGCGTGGCCGGCCTCCCCACCTTTGAGGTCTTCCCGTGGCAATTGGCTTACCACGGTACCTCCGAGTTCACCGCCCGTACCCTGAGCAACGGCAAATTCACAGGTTTCATTGCCACCAGAAGCATAGCGGAGTCGGTCTTCGTGACCCTTTTTCTCCAACAACTCCGCGAGCACCGCCTTGACCTTGACGGCATAGCGGAGGCTCTCCACACACAACAGAGCACAGACGTTCCAAACAAAACTACCCATGCCCGAGCGTTCCACGCTCCCCTCATCAAACCGCTTATCGACCAACTGCAAACCCACTCCCCAGCACCTGCGGAAGGCTCCGCCCTACGCGCCCTCAAAAACACCAACGACGAACTGGCTCGAGCACGTCAGAAACTCCACGACCTCGGCAACCCGCTCACACCAGTCAAAAACACCGGCCGATCTTCTGCACCAGCCGCCCCTTCCCACGCACCCACACCACCACCACCGAAACCACCAGCCATCACCGACGTCTTGCAACCACCACACCCCACCCTGCAAGACGACATCCCCGAAGGCTGGAACTACCCAGATATCCAACAATGGGTCATTACCTTTGACCCCACCATCCAAGAAGCTGCGAAGGAAGTCATCCGACTGCTGCAAACAAGCAAAGTCACCACGCAGCAGCTAAAAGAAGCAGCCACCAAGTATGGCCTACCCCTCAACCGAGTCAACCGACTCCCCATTCGCAGCCTACAACAGCTGGTGGGAGTTGGAGCAGCCATTGGTTGCTGACTCGCCATCGTGGCTCAGCAGCAACCCAGCCACACCAACCTCACCCTCCACCTGCACCGCGCACTTTCCATGCTCATCCACCGCACCCAATACATCGACCGCGCCGAGGCCATCTTTGCAACCGGCCTCATCCACATCACACTTCTTTTCGCATACCCGTCCAACACCCGTCGCTCACAGCAATGGCGCAACCGCCTCCGCCAGCTCCACATTTTACCCCACACCTACCACTACCACAACTTCCTCTCTTCCAATTCCGTCTACATCAAGCTCCACTTCAATCCCGACCAACCCCAACGCTGCTACCATCAACATGGCCACTTCTACGTTGGCTCCACAGCTATCGGCATCCCCCACCGCGAGCACAACCGCCGCGCCAAACTCAAACAACTCCAGAACAACATTCCCATTTCTGCAGAACTCTCCCTACGTTATTGGCATTCACACAACAACATCCACCACTACACCACTATTCAACTCACCTCCCATGACACATACGACCAAGCCTGGATCCAAGAGCACCACTACATCGCCAACTGGATGCCTTCACTCAACTGGCCATTCATTTCCCACCACCTCAAACTCAAAGCTCAGGGATGGCAGTTTGCGAAACACAGAGCCCACTTCTACTCCAGACTAGCCACCCACAAACGACTTTTCCGACGCCTTCGACAACGCCAGTACACCCTCAGAGAACCACACCTCTACACTTCCACCAAGCATCACGCCCTTCAACTTCTTCGCAACCTTACCAAACACACTGCAGCCTCCTTTGAGGCAGCAAAACAGATACGAAGCGGCTGCCACACGGACCTCGAGGTGTATGCAATCCGGCGTATGGCCGCAAACCTGGAAGAACCTGGCCGCAGCCGAGCTCTTCACATCCTCAACAAAGCCCTGATCTACTGCAACCTCACGCCACCAAAGCCAAACATCCCCTTGACAGTGCCTTTCTTGGCCCACGACGACTTTACCAAGCACTGCCAACAATGGCTTCGTACCACCATCCAGCAGCACAAGCATTTCACCATTCCCCTCCACCTCCCCTCCCACAGACTGAGGGAAGCCGCCCACAAAACCCTCCGCTCCCACCTGCACAACCGCCGCACATGGGAGGACACCCTCCTCTCCCCCCAGATCCAGCAGACCTCCCCTGTGCATGCGACCACCTTCGCACCCTCCTGCAGGATCCCGATACCCCTACCATCAATGGCCACTACATCCTTACACTTGACCAACTCCAACTCCCTACACACCTCAGCATTTTCCTCAACGCCAATATGAACAGCACCTATTACCCAAGCAAAGCTCGGTACTTCCTCATTTTAACGACGGCCTATACCAAATGGCTCAAACTACAGGGGCTTCCACCATCCCTAGTTCAACACCTACAGCCTTTCCTTGAGCACCAATGGCGCCTTCACAACGCACACCTCAAGCAGCAACCCCGTTTTACGGCCCGCCTGCTCCGTCAACTCCAAGAACATTTGGGTAAACACACATTACTCCACCATGCCGACCATGAGCTCCAACAACTGCGATTGTTTTGCCCTCGCCAATACTTCACTGGCGCCTTGAACACATGGCAATCCCCCGAACTTTTCGAACCACTTCCCTACATCACTGCCGCCAATATCCACGATCACCTGGCCGCCACTGTCCCCCCCATTTTGCGCACTCGCTACAAGTGGGGCTTCAAAAAAGACTTCAACATTCCCTACGGCGTTGTCCACCTCAAGGAGAAGAAGCACTGGCAAAAAGGCCGTACAATTATCTCATACTTCCAATCACTCAGTGGCAACCTGCTTCGCATTACCAGCCGTGCCCTTGACATCATCCTCCAGCACCTCTACCCTCAACATCCCGGCCAAATGTCCATTCCCCAGCTTTGGCACCACTTTCACAGCTACCTCACCCAAACCCCACCAGACATCTCACTACACGCCACCAACGATGACCTGGTCGGCTTCTTCAACTCAGTCCCACAGCACCGACTCATCGATGCAGTTCACTCCCTCGTCCACCACTGGCAACAACAGCAACCCACACACACCTTGACGGTGGATGTCCAGGCCACCGGCAATCCTTTCCACCACTCACACATTGGCAGACACCATCGGAAACACCCTACCCAACGCACCATCCAGACTTCCGACATTACCACCATCGTGGCTTTTGCCCTCAACACATGCATTTTCCGGGCTTGCAACAATACTTACAAACAAATCCGAGGGGCCGGGATTGGATCCCAGCTCTCTCCAGCCCTATGCAATGTTGCCATCACCCTCATTGAGCACTCCTGGCATCAGATCCACAACAACCTCCTTCAACACACAGACCTCCACTTTACTTACTATCGATATGTCGACAACCGCTTCATTGTCCACAACGAACATTTCCTTCAACACCCGGCTATCCAAACCCTCATCCACCACAATTTCTTTGGCGACCCAGTTGAACTCGAACCGGTGGAGGATTTTCATCTCCTCGGTTTCAACATCGACCTCCCACAACGCACCATCACCTACATGCAACCTTCCCAACCCTGGAAAATCCGGGATTCCACAACCGCCGGGAGCCAGCGCTTGGCTCTATCAGGCCTCCAATCAAGACTCCACACCATTCGAAAATACACATTCCCACCCTCCAGCGCTGACGTTGCTGCGGCTGAACTCGTCAACCTATATGTCCAAAAGGGGCATAACTACCACGCCTGCCACCGGTTTTTGAAAAAAGCGCCGAATGCGGCGACCTGTGTGTGTCCCACCCTGGACAAAGGGTCTTACCCCACCACTTTTCCACAGGCAGGGGCACTGAGCACTCCTTGGCAAACTCAGTGCAACGAAGCTATGCCTTGGAGTGATTGATCACCCGTGTGTACCTGCGAAAACTTTTGTACAAGCTGTCTAATCCGCTCGTTTTGATTCATGGTGGTTCCACATGATACTTTCCCCACAAACAGGTTTCCCACTGCACAGCAGCTGCTGACCGCCACCTCCATTTGCGCTTGTCGTGAAACCTGTGTTAAACAGTACATTTTCAGCTGACCTTTCCACCTTGCCGTTCCATCGCCTTCTTTCCCATTGAGACAATTGCGCTAACTGAAAATCCAAGTTCGAAGTGTGTGTGCATCTGCACGCAAGAAGAGGATTTAAAATGACAAAGAGAGTGACTAGGGCAGCGGTTAGCTGCATGGCATGCTGCAATAGCGTCGAGGCATGTCGCTATTCGGTGCAACTGTTGAGCACTGGGCAATGAGCACTGTCCGGTGGGAAGCAAGAACTGCAGGGGAATATCAACGTGAGCCAAGGGTTGCCGAAAAACCTTCCAACTGCATCAGGAACCGCTACAATTTCATAGTCTGTAGGCATCCTGCGAGACATCTGTAGGCATTCCTGCTCAACTATTGCGAGCCCCTGCTGCATTCCCCAGACCGGGTATTCGAGCCCATCCCAATGCGATTTTTCACGGTCCTGATCATGTTTTACCAAGCCCATATGCTTCCATGACCACGCTCTTGCAATCGCCATCAACAATGCGACCTTGCAAAAGGCATCAAACACGCAATTGCTCAATCAATGATATGCTTCGCTCTGATGCCTCCAGCAGTTCGCCAGTTACATGGAATTATATAGATGTTCGTTTAGCAAAGCGATTGAAGGCAAAATAGTTGTAATCATTGCATGCACACAGGCAGTCAAAGGCCGCTTCATGCATTGTATACAATTGTTTGCCTCAACATCCCCCTGCTTCAATGGTGCTTCGTGACCGTTTCAGTCAGGAAAAAAGTGCAGTGCCAAAACTCAGTGCAGCACTGCGGCACAAACAGCTAAAAAGAATCCTTGGCACAAAAACATCAAAAACCCAGAACTACATCCAAAACTGACGTTCCGATGCACTGTGTTTGGCGCCAGCCGTCCCGCCTAAATTGGCCGTGTCACACTCCACTCAGACACGGACTCCGACGATCGTCCGACACACATGCGGGACAAGGATCTGACTCGACTGGGTCTACTTGTGGAGTTGGCCGCAATGACACATGTTTGGCTAGGCTATGTTCCTGTGAATCTTGGGGCCAGGAGTTCTTACTAAACTAGTCTGGTGAGATCTGGTGAGTGGAGGTTTGAGCTGGTTCTTGAACCACCTTGGCATCGTTCTTGTGACTCGGTTGTGCCGTGTTTCTTCCGACCTCCGACACGTAGCTGCTATGCAAAAGGCTGACGTGGCTTGCACGTGCTTTCATGGTGCAAGCCGGGTGTTCCGGGTGACAAGGCTACAAGATGCACAAACCTGACAAGCTGCATGGAAAATGTGAGTGTCAAGAACGAACAGCACCTGCAAGCCTGCAATGTATAGTCTTCCAGCGCACCTGTGGTCCCATACTGATTCCAAGGACCCATCTTAAGCCAAGCAACTCCTGGCGTTGAAGGCAGCCACCTTTCTGTTGCTAGCACCTCAATCCGTGGTCTGGGGCTTTGGTGGCTTTTTTTTCTCCGCAAACCCCGCAAAAGAAAACACCCTTGGACCATCCTACCTCAATCGGAATTGACGGAATGTTCGCACCTCTACTGCCGACATCTTCCTCGCGCACGGGCAGTCGAACCCTCGGCCTGGAATGGATATGTCCACATCTTCCTCCTCAGGTTCTTGTGTCTGACCTCCCGTGTGACATCCAAGTGAGACTCCATTTCTCCACGTATATAACGGATAAAGGCGGCGCAAACGTGCATGCTCAAACGGTCACACTGTCAGGTCATTTATTTTATCTGCGGCATGTCCGATGGCTCTGCGCAAACACCCGGCAACATCTGACATCCTTGGAAAACCCATCACCGGACCCTTGGCCTTGTAAGATTGTGCGGTAGAGCCCGAACCCTCGCACTTGAAGGAAGGGCATTCTTTCGCAAAACGCCCCACAAATCAACCATCCGTTATCATCCACTTGAGCCGAATGGGCAAAGCAGTCAAGGCAAGGTGTTCAACAGATTGTTGACAAGACCTCTGACATTATGACGATTAATTATATAAATCTCCTGGGCGGAACTTGTTCGGTGTCCATCGGGTCCCCAGATCCCTGTGACCATTCACAAAGGGGGTGTCTTGAAACCATGTTCAAAACGGTACAAAGAGCAGTGGAAACATCTATAGAAATGAGGCGGGCGTGGATTTCAAAAAGCAGGTTCAAAACCCCTCAGATTTCGCAGGGTGTGCGCACTCACGTCTTTTCCGCAAAGCCTCAAGTTCATCGCGATTTGTCCTACATCATCAAACTGACATCGGCCAACCAAAAACCGAATCTAAGAAACATACAGTATTGTGCCTTTGAAGCATGGCATGGTGCTGGTCAACAATGTTCAACGAGAACTTACCTGATACGCCAAGTTTCTCTCAAATAGGGTCAGGCCTCCTCTTGTGAAATCAGAGGTAAAATTCCCCCTAACACCTTTCCATAATAGAGCGCCTCACACACAGTCAGTCACACACACACATATATATATATACATACCTTATATTTAAGTAAATATGGTACATTATAATACAATACAATATAGATATATCGCAGGGAAAGTCACCTCGGACTTGGAATGATCTTGAAACTTTGATTTATGCAGCTCGGCTTCCCAACTTGACCGTTGATGTGAACGAAGCTTTCCGAAGCTTCGATGTGAACGGGTGACACTCTGAGCCCCTCGTTTTCGAAAGGTTCGGCTTCTGGATGGGTTGCAGGAAACAAACGTTGCCGCCAGCATATGTCGTCGCCATATGTGTTATCTTGGGGCATACTTTCCACATGAAAAGTCAAAGCGGTCCTCATAGCACCAAACACGTCCCTCATGCCCAAATATAGCTGCACTTCTGGAATGTGGATTTCCTCTCTGGTAGACCTCTAGGGGAAATTGTCACACTAACCTTTGCTAGCACATGCCTCAGGCTGTGATGCTCTAGAAATCTGTTCTTCAATGTCAGCTATACATGGCAAAACCTCAATTTGTTGCAAACGAATGCGAAACAAAAGCAACAAGTTGTTTTGTGTTTGCATGATTAGTTTTATATAATTACCCCTTTTTGCTTTGTTTCTGGTACCATTTCTGCACCCACGAGAACTTACTTCTACCAGTCAGCAGTAATATTCGCTGGACGCTCGTAGGAAAAGGCGAAACTGAAAAGAAAAATCAGAAGGGTGTTTCAAAATCACAACTAACAAAGAAACATGCAACATTACCTGTGTTGTTTGTTCGTTTGCTTTTACCTGTTGCTGCTTTTTACTTTGTTGTCGCTGTGAATTGCTATATATTTTGGTTCATTGATTGTATGGCTGCCATTGGGAACATAACTCTTAAAAAACAAAGCTACAAACGGTCAAAATTAGCATCCAATCTTTCCTGCCCCAAAGGGGCGAGGAACTTTCCAATCTTCGGGCAACGTTGCTCCACTGCATGGGAATTCTCAGCTGCAGCCTCTTCTCCATTGCTCTCGGGGCACACATGGCATTGAACAACAAGAATGATAAGAGATGCTTGCGACGAGGAATGTTCAAATGCTGCCACACAAAACATGCCGCATGTTTGTTTGAGGGCCAGGGTGTTATGGGATTGGGAAAATGATCCTCCGATGCAACAAGGACTTTCTTCCAGACGATTCCAAACGACTCTAAGAAATGTTACTGGCAAAAACTTGCCCAACAATTGCCCTGCAAACGCTTTCGCTTGCCTCCCCGCGGCAAAGGTGCCAAGCGGGGAACCTATGGGAACCTTGGTAGCAAGAAGCCGCGAGAAACCGTATATATATATATTCGGCTGCATCAGTTACACTTGACTTGAGATGCGACGAGTCAGACTCGGACTAAATTCTTTTCCGCACAAGCTTGAAGGTCTTAGTTCAAAAGTGCTTGTCCTGCTTGGGTGCCAGTCGCGGTGACACCGTAGGCTTCGGCATCGATGGAGAGGAAGAAGGTCCCGGTAACAGTGTAGTAGCTGCCCGCTTGCGCAAAGCCCGGATAATCTTCTTCCCAGCTGTACGAATAACCGCCAAAGATGCCGGCAACAACGACTTCACCATAGGCATTCCAGGAATGTCTTCAGACGAGAGGCGGACCACCCTGGGGTTCTCGGACAGCAACTCGTCCGCGGCTACCATAGCTTCAGCCCACCGCTCCACAGCGGATGTAGTTTTGATTTCTTCCCAAAGAACCTCGGGCGCACTGGCCAGAAACAAAGCTGCTGCAAGCCGGAGTTGATGGCCTTGTTTTTGTTTCTGTGCATCATAACGCAATGGAGTCTGTGCTGTAGAACTACCACTAGCGGCGTCCGTCCATTGGCCAATAGCCAGGCGCTCGGTATCAGTGAGCCGCACAATACCCGCTAATGTGGGCACCACCCGTCTGAAGCTGTAGGAGCTGAGGTTCTGCACATCCAAGACGCCCTCAAAGTATGGGCGAACCACTCGAAGAAACTGACCAATAGACACGGGGACTCCTGTGTCAGAGTCGAAGGCCAAGTAGTGCCAGCGACGAAACCCCTCGCCATGTCTTGGACGGACCTTGTCCAACTGGCGCTTCCAAATGGCATAGAGGTCAAGGCTGCCCAACTGCCGTGGGAGCGACCAGGAGAAACCATCCCGGGTCCCGGTCTTGCCTTTGAAGCACCAGAAAATGAGGATGGCCGTGTTCGCGCCAATGAGGTAGCTCCTTTGTACGTGGCAAAAACGAATAAGCCCAAACACCATGGCAGCGGCAGCCATCAGAATAGGCCAGTGAGCGTGCTCGGCCGTATACTCCAGGACCCCCAACAAATGAGTCACCATGCCGGGCTCAAGAGGGGCCGCCTGGGACTGCCCCTGTCCCAGCCGAGTACTCCGGACCGGAGCGGGCTTGGAGGCTTCACTCAAATCCAGAGGTACACGAAGGTTGCGGATCATCCATCCCAGGGATGTAAAGACACGTGTAGGTCCATGGTGCTCCCTGACGAAGGTGGCCAAAGCATGGGAGTCTGGGAACCGCAAGCCCAAATGATCCATATAGCGCACCAAGTCCTTTCATGTATGGACCACGCGCTTGATGGTGGCCGCCTCAGTGCGAGCGCAGAGCTTCTCCAAACGGGACGACCAATTTGCCATGTACTCGTCGTGCCGGGCAGGTGGCGGTGGCATCAGCGTCACCATGATGCCCAACAAATCTCGAAGAAACAAGGCAGCGACTCTGCCTTTCGCACCGGCCGGCTGGGCTGGTGGCTTCTTTGGCCTGACAGGCCCAGCAAACGAAGACGGCTTTGGGCGTGCCACCGAAGTCGAAGGCGGTGAAATAGCCGGGATGCTGGAAGGCTGTGGCGGGCGAGACTGACGAACTGTCTCTCTCGCAAAAATGTTCCGAACCAGGGCCGCCATCCCCGGTTCACTCTCACGGCGAGCGAGATCCCACCCGTCCGCCACTGCACGGCCGGCTTCACGAAGGGCTTGATCATAGGAGGTAAACCAAAAGGCCAAATCGCTGGCGCTCTCAATGCCCACCTGGGCACACCAGGTGTTAAGCTTCTCCCGCTCAACTGCGCGTCGAGCATTTGCATCAGCCATGGCTCGCGCCAACAAAAATCTGAGAATCAGCGACACTGATTCTTGTGGAGCGACACTCCTTTTTGGCTTGAGCCTCAAGCTGAAAAGGAGTGAGTGAACTGAATGACATCAAATAATTCCTCATCACCGACCCTGCCTACCTTGAATGAATGAATATATATGCTATCGATATGCTTCTGTGACTGGCATCAGGTCGCGGCGTGGCACTGTGGACAATTTTGAGCCTCCCTGCACCGCCATGCTCAATCCACACAGTTCTATTTGCAGCTGGCCCCAGCTTGGAAAACACAAAGCAATACAGATGCACTCATCGCAACAGGCAATGAGGGTCATCGCCTTCTGATGTGGAGAACTTGTCAATGTGTTGCGCAGGTGTTTTTCTTGGCCGCTGCTGCGCTACAGCCTGAGAAAAAAAGCACGTTCGAACACCCAGTTTTGATGGCTTATGTGATGCTGCTTTGATGTGCAAATTGCGTGGCAGGCGCAGCATTCTGCGGACCACCGCCACCACCACCACCTCCTTGCACCTTCACCTCCATCACTGCACCAGTCCCCGCCATTCCCACACCACCACAGGGAACAACTCTGTTTTGATACCCTGCTCTTTGATCCTCTTGAACTCATTTCCTTTTTGATACTTTGCTTCAAGTATCTTCAAGTACATGTTTCTTTGCACCCGACTGGCATTGCAGCCGGTCCCATCCGCCCACGCTCAGCTCTTCCTTCGTCGCTCTCACGGCTGGTCCGATGACTTGCTCTGCTCGACTCGTCCAACGTTCGCCGCACTCATGGAGGCTTGGAGCCCTCCGTGTTCTCCATGCCTGGCCTCGACTTCAGCGACCGAATCGGCCGCAGAGGTCCATCGCACCAGTTCTGGTCGTTGCGCTGAGCTGGTGCGGAGTGGCTCCGTCTTCACCAACGTTACGCTCGCACTGCCGGCAGCCGGCTGTGTCGCGGCTTGTGCTATTCTTGCGCTAGTACGCTACGTAAGGATCTTACGGGCCGGAAATCAAATTGCATCGAAGCCGCTAGTTGAATCTACTTAGTTTTCTGCCTCTGGGTAGCCTGTGCCGTGTCCTTGTCTGCAGGTCTAAGCTAAGCAGCTCCCAGTTGGAGACTGTCGGTAGCGTCGCGTTTCTGAGGAAAAATAGGCAGAAAAACGCCTGGCAGTGAGCAACACTGCGGTACCCGCAGCTTGGAGAGGTGGCAAAAACGGCACCGGCGAATGCAGCGCCGGCAGGAAGGCGCCAAGGGAAAAAATGCCAGGGAGCACAGTCAAAAACCCGGCAGGTCTCGCTCCTCTTGTGCGAGGCCCAGCCGCGGCCCAGGAGGTCTCAAATTTGTAGCTCCTGCGGACTCCTGCTTGCCGCTCTCGGAGCCGTTGAGAAATTGAAGGCTGTCCCGTCTCAACCCAAGGATCCAACAAAAGGATCCCAAGAAACCATGAAGCAAAGCACCTGAACGACTCGATGAAGGCAAAAATCGCAACTCACTTCTGTTCAGGAGAAAAATTCGCACAAACTTCGAGAGAGGCGAAGGCCGACGATGGAATGCTGGCGGGGCAGTCCCGACAAATTTGGAAAATAGGAATCAACTGCAACCATCGAGGCGCGTAAAGGAGCTGCTTATGCCTGCTTGATATTGAAAGCTGGATTGACGATTCCGGAACGTGCTCTTGTGGCAGATGTCAGGCAGCTCACCACAGGCTGTCTCATGAATTGAATCCTTTGGAATCGTTTGGAATTCTGTTGCACGTGCTGCGACTCTTCCGAACAACATGGCGGACCCGTGTCCCATCCGAAACGCCGTTCGAAGCTGTAAGATTGAAGGAGGAGCTGAGGAGGAAAAAGGATGAAAAAGGAAGCTCGCAAGGCGGTAATTAGACCATTCCTGCAGGGAAAAGAACCACGAATGTGTCCAATCCTCGCATCCAGGAAGATGTGGCTGGACAAGTCACTGGTCACTTTGGGCAGGGGGTCAGGGGCAAAACGGTTGAAAATGTGGAAGGGGTCGTGCGAGAAAGAATGATAATGAATAATGATTGGGCGTTGAGTTGAGACCACTTCCGCAATGATGCAGGAAGTCCCTCTGGTCACAAAACGAAACTACTATCCAAATGAATCAGTGGTGGGCCTCTGGCTCCTGATCCAGGACAGAAAGGTTTGAGTGCAACGCAACTAGCACAAAGAAGGTGTGATTGAACTCTATGGTTCTGCGGCAAAGACGGCGGGAACTTGCCAGCTACCAAGCTGATGCCGGTGGCACTCCCGGTGGCATTCTGTCACATGGTGGCATGGGCTACGAACGGAACCCATCGGCTATGACTTCTATCTTCGGGTCACGTAGATTTTCTGAGTCCGGCCGAGTCTCAGTGAGGCCAGGAATGTCTTGCTCACCCTTCTTCACCACGACCTCATGCATGACTGAAGCACATTGAAGCACCCTTTTCTTCACGGGCACTGAAACGTCTGGTCTTTTCACACCTGTCACCTATTCTCTTCGATGTGCGCCATGGCATGCCATCTCAGTTCTGGACTGCGTGAACGAACGTGAACGAATCTCATGCCAAGCAGCCAAGTGGAGCACTGCGAGGTCAGGGCCAACGATGCAGCCTGAAGGCCGATGACGGGCGTTCGTGGGAACCAGAAGCCATGACGAGACGTGCGAGAAAAGAAGTGGATCACCACAGGTGGATGGTGGTGACAGCGGTGACATGTGCGACGACTGTAA